GTGCTTGTGGTCCCAGCTACTCAGGAGGCTGAGATGGAGAGATTGCTTGAGCCTGGGAGGTGGAGGTTGCAGTGAGACAAAATCACAGCACTGCACTCCAGCCTGGGCAACAATGAGACCCTGTCTCAAAAAAAAAAGGAGTATCTTTAATAGGATTCCATTGGATCTGCAGCTGGGAGTAGTTCTGTGTATGTCACTATACACTGTACAGAGGACTAGGAAGACAGTGTCTCTGGGCCTCAGTTTCCCAACTGGTAATTTAAGCAAGTTGTGTTGAAGTTAGTTTCATATCTGTCGTCTTTCTTCCTCTATACTGTTACCTCCTAGAGAGGAGAGATAGATATAGTCTCATTAATTTTTGGTCCCCAAAGCTTTGATGGAGGTTGACACAAAGAAGGGGCATTCGGCATGTTCAGTGAATGAATGGCAGACGAGTGTTTCAGAGGCCCTTTCCAACAGACTTTTCCAGGACCAACAACATATGAAGTGTTCTCAAGGAAACCATCTCAACTAGGACAACAGAATGATGGACTCCAGGTAACCAACCAACATCAGAGTGACAAGGAGCCACAGTGGGCTAACCTCAGAGTAGAAGACAAGTCAAGAGTCATCAGGGAAGATTTTCAATGCTGCTCCTCAGAAAAGTCCTTGAGACCCTGGAGAAGCCCCTCACAGGGACCACTGCACTTTCAGCATCCTGGAAGGAGAACCTAACCATCAGTGCACAGGCATGAGTGGGGCATCAGGATGGCCTCAACAAGATCCAGGCCCCTGGGGCACAGGATAAGTCAGAAAAGGGATTTCCCACTCAGTATATATTACCTCCAATATGGTAAAGGCCTGCTATATAGTTAATCTCAAGAAGGAGCTAGATAAATAAAGGCGTTTCCACCCAGATAAATAAGGGTATATCCACCCATCATTGTTCTTGAGAGACTGGCTAAAGCTCATTCCTCATGGAATCCCTTGCCCAGAGCAGGACTTCACACTTAGGATGCACTCAGTCAATGTCATTGCAGAATGAAATGAGAGGTCAACTGCACAAAGCTACAGTGTTGTTAATTAATAATTGTTAATAATTGGGAGGATGGACAAGCAGATTATAAACATACTGCTTAAAGGCTTAGGCTCTGAAATTGACCTTGCCCTGTATGCCAGATCTGTTGCTTAGTATCTGGACAACTTAAGCAAAGTATTTAACACCTTTATGGCTTGGAGATAACAATGCTAACAACCGTGAAGGCTAAAGAAAATAATTCTGAGAGATACTTAGCTTATTGCCTTGCACATAGCATGGACTAAAAAAAAAAAAAAAAATGCTACTCAGAAAACAGTAAAAGAGGAGAAAAAAATTCTAAAGGTATATGAATGGGAGATTTTGTTAAATATATTATGATACATTTGTATGATGAAATACCATGCAGCCAATCACAAAAATAAAATAGATACATATATAGATTTGGAAATAAGTCTGCAATATATTGTAAAGCTGAAAAACCACAAAATAGCTGGAGTTGAGTTTTAACAAATAACTTACTTGCATCAATAAAATCAAACTATTAATAACTTTTTGGGAAGGTACAGCAAGGTGCTAGGGGATGATATTTACAAGGAGTCTTTCCTTTCTGTGTAATTTCCTACACTTGCTTTCTTTTTACAATAATCATGTCACAATTATGATAAGAAAAATAAAGACTTTCTATTTGCAGGAACAAAATAGAAATTTATGCTTAATTTTTTGTCAGCTAGTAATTGTGAAATAATTTTATCAGGTTCTAAAATGTCTGGTGGAAATTTTTATTGGAATTGCTTTGCATTTATAGATGAATTAGGCGAGAAAGTCTTCCCATCCAGGGACTTTTTTTTTTAATTGTTGTTTTGTTTTTATATTCCTTCAATTTTTCTTTTCAGACTTCAATAACATTTTATACTTTTCATTTGGGCTGTAAATATGATTAATTACATTTTTCCTGAACATTTTTTCTATTTTGAATTGAATTATTTGTAAAATATATTTTCTAATTGGTTAGTCTTTACATATACATAAGTGACTTTTGTATATTTACTTCATAACTTGCAAACTTGCAGATCTCATATTAATTCTAATAACCATTCAGTAGTTTATTTTGAATTTTCAATCATGTAACCTCTGAACATTAACAAACTTGCTTCATTTACAAATATTTGGGTCACTTATTTCATTTTGTTTTCTAATTTTACTGACTAAAGTTTCTAGAACCTTAATAAATCATGATGACAATACAGGATTTTCGTTTCTCTTTCCAGACATTAATGGAAATTCCTGTAGTGTTTTCTGGTATGTAGAATATTGACCAATATATTGAGACATAATTTTTTTATCATATTAAGGAAATACACATTACCAATGATAATTTTGGCAGCATTTTCATCAAGAATGGGTGGTTGTTTATTAAATACTTGTTTAGCTCTTTGTTACTATCAGGTGTCTTTCCTCTTTTGATTTGTCAAAATGAAGAAATATACTAGTGCCTTTCTTACAATTGAGCTACCTATATTTTGTTATTGTTTTAAGTCCCATTAGATGACAGTATGCATCTCTTTTAATAGATAAGTGGATTGAGTTTGCTAACATTTTATTTAGGACTTTTATATCTATATTCACAAATAGGAATGGTCTGCCATCTCATTTGGGTTGTCTTAGGTTTTATAAAAAGAGCAATGAGAAGCTGGACATTTCTTTTACTTTCTGAAATAGTTTAATAGTTTAAAGTACATCTAGTCCTAAAAGCTTGAAATATTTTTTCATAACATTTTTTGGTCCTGGCATCCCCTTTAGGTAGTTCTTTGAAACTTTTTCCATTACTTCCTTGGTTGGTCTATTTTAATTTCTAAAAAATTTCCTCTGTTAATTTTGATCACTTACATTGTCATAAAAGTACTCTTTCATCCAGATTTTCAGGTTTGTTAGTATAGAGCTGTCTATCACAGACTCACAATTTTAAATATTTTCTAAAATCTGTGCATATGCTCTCCTAACTAGTGTTCTGCATTTCTGTTGGCCTCCCCTTCTGTTTGCCTTGCTTTATCTTCACTGAGGGCTATCTGTTCTATTAGTCCTTTCCAAGGACTCATTCTTAGAAGCAGAGAAAACATCTACTTTTTGGGGTTTGATTTCCAACGTATTTATTTCTGCTTTAGCTACTTTTTTCCTTCTTGCTTTTATTTGTTTTGTTATTTTTTTCTATCTTCAAGAATTGAATATTTAGTTTCCTCAAACTTATTCTCTTTTAGAAATGATAGCATATCATGTAGTGGTTACATGTTGTAGCTTTACAGCCTAAGCAGACCTAGGTGTCAATCCCACTCCAACAATTTACTATACCTGACCTTGAAGAAATCTATTTAGCATGCAGTGGAGAGGAGGGAGGCTGGAAGAGGCTCGGCTGCAAGGCTGTAAGGAGGGCTGCTTGGGGTGCCAGGCACAGTAGACCAATTCAGCAGCCAGGGATGGGAGCAGCTTTGGGTTCTTCCCATAGGAAGTCCTCAGTAGGCAGCCTCATCATTGCTGTCTTCCTTCTCCTGCTGCTACTGCTGCTGCTGCTAAGACAGACAGATGTTGCCCAGCTGGATGGAGGGTGCGCACTCTTCAAAAACAGCAGGAGGGGGAAACAAGATGGCCGACTACATGCAGCCAGGAAGTGCTGCTCCCACTGAGAGAGACCAAACTATCAAGTAAGCCATCACAATTTGGGCAGCTCTTCAAAGAGAAAAAGCCAAGGGTGGGTAGAGGTGATGCTGAAGCTGAGGCTGAAGAGGGAGGAAGCTGGGAACCCTGCAGGGGTACCCAAACGCTGTTAGGGCTAGTTCCTGGCCCAAACAGTTCCTGGGAAAGGTGTGAGTGAGGGAACTGAAGGATGCCTCACTCTTGCCACTAGCCTCTGGGATTCTAGCTACAGGGGACCCTGAATCACACAAGGATGTGGGAGCTGGAGGGGAATCTCCCCAGTGAACAGGCAAAGACAGGCCTTCAGACAGCCTGGAGCTGAGGAGTTTGTGTGCACTGGACAGGTCCAGCGGAGAGCAGTCATAGGTGGTCATCCCCCAGGACTCTCTATTCCCCTCTGGAAGGCACTGGCCCCAGCTGACCTTCCAGCCAGGAGAGAGCAGGGCTGGCTTCCCTGGGAATGATGCACACCTGTTCTGCAAGACTTCCTACATGCCAGCCATTCCCAGGGCTCATGCCTAGCCACCCTGCAGGAGCAGGTGCACAGCACAGCCTCCTCAGCCCAGCCTGAGTGCATTCCTCCACCTGAGTACTTTCTTGGTGATCTGGAGCACATAGGATCCCCAGTGCAGCCAGAATCCAACAATGGATTCTGACAGAGCCATGGGATGTCCTGGTGCCCCAGGGCTACAGTACAGCAGATCAGGAATACAAAGCCAAGATCTGTGGTTGGCACTTGAGTGAGGGAGGATCCCCCACCCTCAGAGTGTGGCAAGGGATGAGGTTCAATCCAGAAACGGTAAAGAACATCTTCCTGTTACAACCTTTCCCAGAGGGGGCCCTGCATCCCAGAACACCTAACGAAAGAAACATGGGCACATAACTGGTGATCAAAAGGGTCTCCCCCAAGGCTCATGAGCAGACCTGGTGAAGGGGCCATTTGTCTCCACCCCCGACTGCAGAGCACACCTGTCAACATGAGGAAATACAAAAGAGTAGTGTGACTGGTTATTAGCCTAGCTATTGGCCATCACTCTTCCACATCATCTACTGGATCACAGCCTGAGCTGCAACACCAAAAATTATCTTACTAATATATGCATCTGTGAAACCAAACACAAGAACTCACCCACACATAAAGATGCTGTACAGAGCTCCGACCCTCTGAAAACATCTGGAAACACAGCCAACTGAGTATAATCAACTTACACCACAGTTAAAGGAACACTAACCCCTGCAGATGAAAAAGAACTAGTTACAACTCTGGCAAATTAAAAAGCCAGTGTCCCCTTACCTCCAAATGAGTCCACTAGTTCCCCAGCAATGGTTTTTTGCTCAGTCTGAAATGACTGAAATGACAGACATAGAATTCAGAATCTGGATAGCAAGGAAGCTCATTGAGATTCATGAGAAAGTTGAAGCCGCATCAATCCAGGAAATCCAGTAAAATGATACAAGAGCTGAAAGACAAAATAGCCATTTTAAGAAAGAACCAAACTGAACTTCTGGAGCTGAAAGACTCATTACAAAAATTTCATACTACAATCAGAAATATCAACAGCAGAATAGATCAAGCTGAGGAAAGACTCTCAGAGCTCTAAGACTGGTTCCTTGAATCAGCTCAATCAGATAAAGGAAAAGAAAAAAGAATTAAGAAAAATGAACAAAATCTCTAAAACATATGAGAGTATGTAAAGAGATCAAATCTACAATTCATTGGTATTTCTGAGAGAAAAGGAGAGAGAATAAGCACCTTGGAAAATATATTTGAGGATATAGTCCACAAAAATTTCTCCAATTTTGCTACAGAGGTTGATATGCAAATATGACAAATATAGAGAATCCTGGCTAGATACTACACAAGACAACCATCACCAAGACACATAGTCATCAGGTTCATCAAGGTCAATGCAAACAAAAAAATATATGTATCTTAAAGGCAAATAGAGAGTAGGGTAAATCATAAACTGAAAGAACCCTATTAGGCAGCAGCAGACCTCTCAGCAGAAACCTTACAAGTCAGAAGAGATTGGGGGCCTATTTTCAGCATTCTCAAAGCAAAGAAATTCCAACCAAGAATTTCATATCCTGCCAAACTAAGCTCCATAAGTGAAGGAAAAATAAAATCATTCTCAGACTAGCAAATGCTTAATGAATTTGTTTAAACTAGACCAGCCTTACAAGAAGTCCTTACGGGAGTGCTAAACATGGAATTAAAAGGATGACACCTGCTACCACAGAAAACACACTTAATCACATAGCTAACTAAGCTTTATAAGTGAAGCAAACTAGGCTTCATAAGTGAAAGAGAGCTAAAATTCTTCTCAGGCAAGCAAATGCTGATGGAATTTGTTTTAACTAGACCAGTCTTACAAGAGATTCTTAAGGGAATACTAAACATGGAATCAAAAGAACAACACCTACTGCCACAAAACAAAAAGAAAAAGAAAAAAAAAAAACCAAAAAAACAAAATGCACACTTAAGCACATAGCCCACAGGCACTATAAAGCAACTACACAATCAAATCTATATAACAATCAGCTAACAACATGAGGATGGGATCAAAATCACGCATATCAATACTAACCTTGTAAATGTAAATGGGCTAAATCTTCCCACTTAAAAGGCACAGAGGGGCATGCTGGATAAAAAGACAAGACCCAACCATCTATTACTTCGAAAGACCTATCTCATGTAGCTCCCGTAGACTCAAGATGAAGAAAGATATATTATGCAAATGGAAAACAAAAAAGAACAGGAGTCACTATCTTTAAAACAGACTTTAACCCAATAAAAATTAAGGGGATAATGAAGGGCATTATATAATAATAAAGGATACAATCCAAGAAGAAAATTTAACTATCCTAAATATATACTGCACCCAACATTGGAGCACCCAGATTCATACAACAAGTCCTTCTTGGCCTACAAAAAGACTTAGACAACCATACAATAAAAGTGAGAGATAACAGCACCCCACTGACAATGTTAGACAGATCATCAAGGCAGAAAACCAGTAAAGACACTCTGGACTTAAACTCAGCACTTGACCAGTTAGACCTACTAGACATCTATAGAACTCCATATAACAACCATAGAATATATATTCTTCTCCTCCACACGTGAAACTTATTCTAACATAGATCACATGTTAATTCCTAAAGCAAGTCTCAATAACTTCAAATAAGTTATTGAACTCATACCAAGCACATTATCAAAGTACAGTGTAATAAAAATATAAATCAATATCAAGAAGATTTCTCAAAACTACATAAATACGTGGAAATTAAACAACTTGCTTCTGAATAACTCCTGGATGAGCACAGAAATTAAGGCAGAAATTTTAAAAACTCTTTTAAATTAATGAAAATAGGGATACAACTTACCAAAATCTCTGGGATGCAGCTAAAGTAGCGTTAGGAGGAAAGTTTAGAGCCCTAAACACCTTCATCGAGAAATCAGAAAGATCTTAAATTAACAATCTGACTTTGTACCTAAAGGAATTAGAACAAAAAAAGGAACAAACTAACCCAAACACTAACAGAAGGAAAGATATAACTAAAATTAGAGAAGAACTGAATGAAATTGAGGTGCAAAAATCCATACAAAAGATCAGTGAAACCAAGAATTGTTTTTTCAAGAAAATAAATAAGATTGATAGACAGCTAGCTATATTTAAAAAGAGAAGGGCTGGGCATGGTGGCTCATGCCTGTAATCCTAGCACTTTTGGAGGCTGAAGCAGGCAGATCACTTGAGGTCAGGAGTTTAAGACCTGCCTGGCCAATATAGTGAAAACCCTGTCTCTACTAAAAATACAAAAATTAGCTAGGTGTGGTGGAGGGAGCCTGTAATCCCAGTTACTTGGGAGGCTGAAGTGGGAGAATCACCTGAGCCCAGGGAGTCAAGGCTGCAGTGAGCCAGGATTGCACCACTGCACTCCAGCCTGGGCAAGAGAGTGAGACCCTGTCTCAAAAAATAAATAAATAAAAATAATTTAAAAAAAATTTTTTTAATTAAAAAAATCTTGACTTACAGTAAGAATTTACATTTTACATCACAGTACATAGATCACATAAACACATAGATCACATATACAGATGTATATGTATATATAAATAAATAAAGATGGCATTATAACTGATCTCAAAGACAAACAAACATTCCTCAGAGAATACTATGAACAAATCTATGCACACATATTAGAAAATCTGGAGGAAATAGAAAAATTCCTGGAAACACACAATCTCCAAAGATTGAATCAGGAAGAGATTGAAACTCTGAATAGACCAATATCAAGCACTGAAATTGAATCAGTAATAAGAAACCTATCAACCAAAAAAAAAAAAAGCCCTAGACAAGATGGATTCACAGCCAAATTCTACCAGATGTACAAAGAACTGGTATCAATCCTACCAAAACTATTCCAAAAAATTGAGGAGGAGGCACTCCTCCCTAACTTATCCTATGAAGCCAGCATCAGTCTAATACCCAAATCGGGCAGAGACACAATGAAGTAAGAAAACTCCACTCCAATATCCCTAATGAACATAGATGCAAAAATCGTCAACAAACTGAATCCAGCATATCAAAATGTTAATCCACCACGATCAAGTAGGCTTGATTCCTAGGATGCAAGATTGGTTCAATATACTTAAATCAATCAATGTGATTTATCATATAAATAGAATTAAAAGCAAAAACCATAAGATCATCTCAATGGACACAGAAAAAAAAACTTCTGATAAAATTCAACATTGCTTAATAATAATAATAAACACCTAAACATGGCCAAGTGCAGTGGCTCATGCCTGTAATTCTAGCACTTTGGGAAGCCAAGAGGGGCAGATTGCTTAAGCACAGGAGTTAAAGGCCAGCCAACATAGTGAGACTTTGTTTTTACTAAAAATACAAAAACTAGGCCGAGCAAAGTGGCTCATGCTTGTAATCTCAGTGTTTTGGGAGGCTGAGGTGGGTGGATCACCTGAGGTCAGGAGTTTGACACCAGCCTGGCCAACATGGCAAAACCCCGTCTCTACTAAAAACTGCAAAATTAGCTGGGTGTGGTGGTGCATGTCTGTAATCCCAGCTATTTGGGAGGCTGAGGCAGGAGAATAGCCTGAAGCCAGGAAGTAGAGGTTGCAAGCAGCAGAGATTGAGCCACTGCACTCCAGCCTGGGTGACAAGAGTGAAACTCTGTCTAAAAAAAAAAAGAATTCAAAATACAGAAACTAACCAGGCATGGCACATGCCTGTAGTCCCAGCTACTAAGGAGGCTGAGGTGGGAAGACCACTCAGGCCCAGAATGTCAAGGTTGCAGTGAGCAATGATCGCATCTGCACTCCAGCCTGGATGATAGAGTGAGACCCTGTCTATGAAAACAAACAAACAAACAAACAAACAAAAAATCTCTCAACACACTAGGCATCTAAGGAAGATAAACTCAAAATAATAAGAGCCATCTATGACAAACCCATAGCCAATATCTTACTGAATGGGAAAAAGCTGGAACCATTCCCCTTGAGGATTGGAATAAGACAAGGATGCCAACTCTCACCACTCCTATTCAACATAGTACTGGAAGTCCTGGCCAGAGCAATCAGGCAAAAGAAAAATAGGAAAAGAAGAAGTCAAACTATCTCTCTTCGTTGTCAATATGAATCTATACTTAGAAAACCCTAGACTCCAACAAAAGGCTGCTAGAACTGATAAACGATTTTAGCAAGATTTCAGGATACAAAATCAATGTACAAAAATCAGTAGCATTTCTATACGCCCATAATGTCCAGGCTGAGTGTCAAATCAAGAACACAATCCCACTTACAATAGCCACAAAGAAAATGAATAACGAAGGAGGTGAAAGATCTTTACAAGGAGAACTACAAAATACAGCTGAAAGAAATCAGAAATGAAACAAATAAGTGGAAAAATATTCCATGCTCATGGATTGGAAGAATCAATATTGTTTAAATGACCATACTGCTCAAAGCAATTTAAAGATTCAATGCTATTCCTATCAAACTATCAGTGTCCTTCTTCACAGAATTAGAAAAACTATTCTAAAATTCATACTAAATCAAAAAAGAACCCAAATAGCCAAGGCAATTCTGAGCAAAAAGAACAAACCCAGAGGCATCACATGACCCAACTTCACACTATACTATAAGGCTACAGTAACCAAAACAGCATGGCACTGGTATAGAAAAATGACACATAGACCAAAGAAATGAAATACAAAACTCAGAAATAAAACTGTACCCCTACAACCATCGGATCTTCAACAATGCCAACAAAAACTGGTAATGCGGAAAGGACTCCCTATTTAATAAATGTTTCTGGATAAACTGGCTAGCCATATGCTGAAGAATGAAACCAGAACCTTACCTTTCACCATATACAAAAACTAACTCAAGATGGATTAAAGGCTTAAATATAAGATCTCAAACTATAAAAATCCTAGA